AGCAAAGTCCTCCATTAATTAAGTCTTGGAGAGGGATGTTGGCCACAAGCGAGCATGCAGATTTGCCTACAGCTGGATCCGCAGGCGCGTCTGCTGCAGCTCGGAGCCGGCCACCTCTTCCGGCTTCCAGCGCGTCAAGGGCTCTGCCAAGCAAGGCTTGGCTTCCTGTTCTCCCGGCCCTTTTTATTCCTCGTTTTAAAAATCTATATCCTCACATCCTTTTCATCCGCCTTCTCTCCGATTCCTCCCCCACCCCTAATTTCCAGCCCCTAACTAAAAATCAGAGCACACCTTGGCTGCCTGCCTGCCAGAACCTGATGCCGGGACTGCACCGCGGCTGGATTTGTGTGCTTCCCAGACGCTGGCTTTCGGATTTCGGGTACCAGGCCCGGGACTAGGGAAAGGGTGTCTTACATCAGTTTCCGTACCTGTGTGCGTCCTTTTGTGGATCTTTAGGTTTTCTGAGCGCGCGAAGACCTTGCCGCAGCCAGGGAAAGGGCAGGGGAAGGGTTTTTCGCCCGTATGCACGCGGATGTGGTTGACCAGTTTGTATTTGGCTTTGAAGGGCTTGCCCTCGCGTGGACACTCCTCCCAGAAGCAGATGTGGTTACTCTGCTCTGGGCCGCCGACGTGTTCCACAGTGACGTGCGTGACCAGCTCATGCATGGTGCTGAAAGTTTTGTTGCACGACTTTTTGGGGTTGGCCAGCTGCTCTGGCTCGATCCACTTACAAATGAGCTCTTGCTTGATGGGTTGGCGCATATAGCGGAAGAAGGCGCCGGCGCCGTGATGCGCGGCCATGTTCACGTTCATGGGCCCGTACCCGTGCAGCTGCGGGGCGGCATAGTGCTCGGATCGCGGGCTGGTCACCTGGCCATACTGTTCGGGCCGCGGGTACATGTCCCCAGAGAAGCCGAGCCTCATTTGCCCGTTGACCACGTTGGGCGAAGCGTGGCCCGCCGCCTGCTCGTGAAGCCCGGGAAAAAGGAGGTGGCCCGCGGCGTCCGTATGGCCGTGTGGGCCCCCGAAGCCGCCGGCTGAAGCAGCGAAGAGGCTATGCTGCGCGCTGGCTGCCGCTGCCGCGTCTCCAAAACCCCGGTTGCGAAACAGAAAGTCCCGCGTAGAATTGAAAGCTGCGCTGGAATAGGAGCCGACGTGGCCCGGGTGGTGGTGATGACCCAGGGCCGCAGCAGCCGCATAGCCGGGTGCCTGAGACGTGAAGGCCGTCTGGCCGGCCGAAGCCAGCTCGTGCGAACTGGGGTTGAGCTTGAAGGCGCCCATGCCGTCGGCGAACGGGTTGATGCCCAGGCCCACGTCTCGCTCGGCCACGTCTCCCGCCGAATGGTGGCGGGATGCGCCAAAGGTGGTCACACCGATCGCAGGATACTGGGGGCCGGCGTCCAGGAGCATCGTGGCTGCTCGGGGCAAGCCCCGGCCTCCCCCGCCCCCCCCACCCTCGCCCGCCGAGGAGGGAAAATCGGGAGGAGGAGGAGGAACGGGAGGCGGAGGAAGAGGAGGAAGAAGAGGAGGAGGGAGGGGGAGTCGACCCACCTAGCGAAGTCTTAGCCTGCAGGCAGTGGCGCGGCGCGTCCGGGCACCCGCCCGGACAAGCGTGGGGAAGCCGGACGGCCGCAGGCAGCGAGTAAAGCGGGCTCCAGTGTCCGCCGCGCAAACCCCGCCGGCCCGGCTCTCACTTTCTCGCCGCTCAGTCTCTGCCGAAAGGGCCTTGAATCAAGGCTGCCCGAGGAAAGACATGGAACATCTCAGCCCCCCAAAAAAACTTCCTCCAGGATTTGTGGCATAGAGGAATGTGAGCGCCGGAGCTACGACTGCTCGCCCTCTCTTCGCCTCGCGCCGCGCGCCCCTCCTCACTTCTCCACTAGCCCCTCGCCCTTTCTTTTCTCTCTCTCTCTCTCACTCCTTTCTCTCAGGCTCGCCTCCTCGCTCCTTCACTCTCCTTTTTTCCCCTCTCCGCTTTTTGCAAAAAAAAAAGGGGGGGGGGAGAAAAAGCCAAAGAAAAGGCGCAAATCATGCACAATATTGTCTTTTGCGGTTTATCTTCCTGGGGAGAAACTTTCACCTCCTCAGCCGGGCGGTGAGCGCGAGACTGATAGCAGCAATCATTCCTGCAGATAAATGAATTGAAAGGACGACACCGTCCCCCCCTTGATGAATGGGAGCAGGGGGAGGTGTCACGTGCTGCCGACGCGGGCGCGGATTGGTGCGCCCTCACTCCCCCCGCCCGCAGCCGCCGCGCCAACGGAGGGCGCGCCGAGACGCCGCGCGCTGCTCATTGGCCCGCCCGCCTCATCAATCCCAGGTATTGTAAAGCGCTTGACATCCCCTTTTGACAAACAGAGCTGCCAGGAGTAGCAACTTTTTTTTAGCCAAATTTTTTTTTCCCTCTTCTCACGGAAAAAAATTTTTTTTTGCCACGAATTCTTTTCTTTCTCATAGTCATCTCTTTCTCTTCTCTCTCGTCTCCTCTCCCTCTCTCCCTCTTAACCCCACCCCACCCCGGTCCTACTTTAAACCTGATCTCCACTGAGCGATTACAGACTGGAGACTTCGAGCGTCTCTGAGAGCAGGAGGCGGGGATGGGGCTGGTAAACACAGCAAAGGCACTTCCAGAATGTCCCGATTCAGCAACTTTCTTTTCTTTCTTTCCCCCTTTTCCCCCTTCAAGGGCAGCAAAGGAGGCTTTTGTTATTTGCTTCTTTTGAAGTTTGCTTCCTTCTTGCCTAGTCCCCCTCCTGTTTATAATTTAAGATCTTGGGAGCACACTTGCACTCCTCTCTTTACTAGAAGTGTGATTTCTCAGTGTAACCAGTAGCCTTGATTTTTTTAACTTAATCAAATCAATCAGGTTTCCCATATATGCCCCCCCCCCCCAAAACACAGGTGGATAGGGTCCCTTAACTTTGCAGATTATTGAGGTTTGGGGGTTTGGTTTTTTTTTTTAAGGGGAAATTGCAAAGGTTGTTGCAATTTTCTTTTTTCACCCTCTCTATGTGATTTTTTCTCTTTTCTCCCTTCCCCTTGTCTCCCTTAGCCGCCCCCGCTAACCCCCTCCCTCTGCACTCCTGTTCCCATCCCGGGCCCCTTTCATTCAGGTAAAACTGTAAATTTCCCTACGCCATTGTTCCTCTGGGCTGCCCAAAGCTCCCTAGAGATCCCCGAATAGTTTTTTTTGGTATTTAAATCCCCGATAGATAGGACCAATGTAAATTTTGTGACATTCAAACCTTTTCTAGTTCACAAATCAGTCACCCTTGTCACAGTTATTGAAATTCCGCAACTCGCCACACCAGGACGGTGGAAAAAGCGGGCGCGGTCTTTGTTGCCGACCAGGCTTTTGATCGCCAGAGAAAATTTACTTACCTTCAGATGAGTGAGCAGAAAAAGAAATAACACTCCCTTTGATTTAGTTAGGAAAATGCAGACATTTGGATTCAGTGCAAACATACAACACTCGCTTGTTTTCGCGATGCGGCCCTCGATTAACCTGTCTTTGCCCAGCGCAAAGTCTATTCAACAACTGCGCGTAGTTGCTTTTTGTCCCATCCACAAAGAGCCATTGACTATATATTAAAATGATTGTTGAAAGGTAGAGGAGTATGGCACTTAAAAGCAGGAAAAAAAAAATCCCTGTGACTCAATCAATTAAACCGAGCAACATTTATGCATTTCAAAAAATGCACGCGGATGCGGGGGGTTGGGGGATGAAGGTTGCATTTCTCCTCAGCTCTGTTTAAAAACCAGCAGCTCGGCCCAGGGTTTAGCCGAAGCGTCTGCATATTCATTAGGTCTAATTATTTTCTAGTAAGGAAAACACAAAAAGCCAAGAGTCGGAATCCTTCAATTTGCCCTTTGTTTCTAACTTCATTTGGCTTCTTTGCAGCTGAATCAGAGCCCTAAACTCTTTTTTCCAGACAAAGAAACCTCAACTCATCCTTTCACAGGCGGCCGGGTTAGGAAACTCACCAGAGTGCACTGGCTAGAGGAAAATGAAAATGATTTTTTTTCTTTCTTTTCTTTTTCTTTCTTTCTCTCTCTCTCTCTCTTTTTTTTTTTTTTTTTTTTTTTTTTTTTTTTTTTTTGTCCTTTTCCCTGCCCCATCGCCAGCGCTGGCTTCCCGGGCTCAAGGAAGGCAGGAACAGCCTTGGCCACTCCTCGCCTTTCTGGTTTTCTGGTCTTCTCACCGACTAAATTCTGATTTGGGCTTGGCGATCTGGGCTACTGCCCTTTCACTGTGCTCTCTCCGCTCAAATGTCGGGTGGTGTATCGGAGAAGGTTTCCTGGTGTCTGAAGGGATTTAACTGAGCATTTGTGCTGGAAAATAAAATTTCTAGGAAGAGAAAAAAAATTAATATCTGGTCTCAGCAACAAGTCTGAGCCCAGCAACCAGAATTTTCTACTAACTTTGAGTGGAAAGGTGTGAGGAGTGGAGGGAAAGGGTTGGGGCTTGAGGGAGTTTAAAAAGAAAAAGGTGTGTGTGTATATATGTGTGTGTGTATAGTGTGTGTGTGTGTGTGTGTGTGTGTGTGTGTGTTTTAAAACAATAACTGCTCGGTTGTTTCTACTGTCTACAAGGGGAAAGTTAGATGCTGCAATTATAATTTTTTAAAAAGAAAGAAGGAAAAGAAAAAAGAAAAAAAAAACCCTTATCTGCAAGGAGAAGTTCTCTCTAGAGGCTGTACTGTTCTCACTAGGGAGAACAAATATTGAGCCCACCTCGCCTGCCTTTCAAAAAAAAAAAAAAAGCAAGGGAGGGGACCTGAGGGGGAAGGGTAGCTGTTGGGAGGGGGGAGGGAAAATAATTCTTCAAAACAGAAAAGTCAGTCTTCTCTTCTCCAGTCCGTGGAAAATCCAACGGGGACGTTGACAAGAGGGTATTTTTAGGAAATCAGTCCAAATATACAGGGTAAGAGTGAATGTGAGAAAGAAAAAAAAAAGTTGTGGGTTGTAGAAGTTATCAAGTGGGATTTGCGGCGCTCTCTGCAGGAAACGCGAACGGCTCCAGTTCAAAGCCACATGCACCAACGTGACATATAAGCCATTAAAATATCATCCTGACGGCTCATTTCTGCTTCATCATACATTCCCTAACTGCTTCCCGAAAGCTGGAAAAGGAGAAATGAAGGATGACCGCCTCGATGGAACCACAAAAGAGAAGCTTAGAGGGGTTTGTGGTCCCCCCTCAGCCACCCCGAAGTGATGTGGAGAAATGAGGTGATCCGGGCAACAGGTGGAGCAGGGTAAGTGCTGGAGACCAGGGGCAGACAGGCGAGACCTGTACCCCAGCGGCCGCGTAGTTAATGTCCTTACGGGGAGCCTTTGGCACCCAAAACCCACTGGGGGAAAAGGCCCAACCAGACTTTCTCCCAATCTCCTCCTTCATTGGCCCCCCAACCTCGGATACAGGCCCCACCCCACTGACTCTAAGGCGGGAGGGGGCCCTTCCGCGGAGGGGCAGTGTTGAGGATGAGTCCATCCGTTCCTCACAGAAAGGGGGGGGGGGGGCAAGTAGGACAAATGGGGCTCCCACTGGCACCCGCACCGAGAGCAGCTTGTTGCCCGCCCGCCTCCCCTCCCCTACTTGTGAATTGCCTGGGTGCCCCACCGTGGTCACAAGAAAGGCAGGAATAGCCCAAAGCTTTCCGAACACGGAGTGAGCAGGGCGGGTGCCCGGAGAGGGGGGTCCTTGCAGGCAGCTTTTCTGCCCTGCCCCAGAGGGTTGGCGGGGAGGATCTTGGCTTCCCCTCCCTAGGGTCAAAGAGCCAAGTTAGATCTGCTGGCAGGAAGACGATGGAACTTCGTCGCCCCATTCTGACTGAGGATGCCGGCTGGGTGCGCCTCCGGGCCGGCTCCTTGCCCTTACTCATCCTGGTTCTGCTTCAGGATGCTGACCGCTGGGATCCGCTCTCTGCGCACGCGGGCCATGGGTTCGGACTTAGCTTTCTCTCTCCCGAAACGAGGGCTGCGACTTTCTCTCTGAGTAGCAGGCCGCAGCCTGTAGAATTCTGGCCACTACCTTAAGTCCAGGGCAAGGGAAATTTGGGGCAATTGGAAAGGTAACAGATTTGGGTTGTGAAGAAGAGTTAGAACTAGTTCACAGGCTGTATCTGAAAGTTTAGGGTTGAGTAATGGCCCAGAGGGACATTTGTGAGTCACGGAAGTCTTAGAAATGGAGAGGGGGCATTGGAGGGCCGCATCTCCGCAGTCACTGTCTGCAGGATACCTTTTTCCGAAGTCATATTTCTCCCACCTTTCCAACAGTATTGGCCTGACAGCAATCCCTGCCAATGCCTCATTTTCCCTTCTCTCTTTAGATACCTGTAGTATGGGGAAGGGGATTCAAAGGGACGATTAGTTGCCTAGACTTGGTCACCTACAGGTGACTCAGGAATGTAGCGGTGCTGGGGGAACCCAAGCTCTTCCCTCTAAAGAACAGGAGAATGAGAAAAGGCCCTAGCACAACCCCAGGCTCTTAGCTATCTTGGCATTGAGGACCCAAGAGAGAGTAGCCAAGGAGATGAGGAGTGCAGCTGGCCGCAGCAGGCAGAAGCTAGGAGCTGGATTTTCTCCTTGGCTTGGTAGCTCCCAGCCAACCTTCAGGGTTTTTGCTCTTACACCGGTCAGGACTAAGCTGTACCCAGAGGCAGGCGTGCCTTTGCGGGGGGTGCCTGCCAGTTAATCCCTGTGGGAGCAGCTCTGGAACTGAAATCTCTAGCTGTGGCTGACCTCTGACCTTGGATAGGCCTGTACCAACTAAATCAGCTTCTTAACATGCAGCTTAGGAGAATCCCCAAATAAAAATACTGCCTTTTGCACCTACCCACTGTTTCACATTTTTGGATCTCATGGGGCACTATCAATTACTGGGGCTCCCTGGCAACCTTTCCTCTTTTCAAGGTGCAGAGTGAAAAACAGATTCCAATAAGTGTCCTCAATGTGTTCCATTCTGATTTGTTGCATGGGTGGATGGCTGGTATAAGAAGTTGTGTCAGGAGCAAGTGTTTGGGGGAAATCAGATCTAGCCATTTTTGAGGCTTCCATATCCCAGGAACCTCAGGTCCAGGGACCCAGGGACAGTTCACAAATTCTTTCTCCTTCTGCCACTACATGGCTGGCTTGGAAAGTGATGTAAGATTTAGAATCAAAGGAGATGTTTACTCTGTTTCCCTGCACAGGCCGGTGATGGAGCTGCTACAGAGTTTCTTGAGGTCCCTGTTGTCTGCCCTGGTCCAACCTCAGCAACATTTGTTTGCATGTCTATGAAATGGTTTGTAATGAACAAAGGGATGACAGGACCTTGGGAGCAGAAGTAACCCAGACCTCCTGGAAGTTGGGCTGGGGCAGCAATGTGGGTGGACAGAGGTCTCTAGGAAACCTCTCACCCATTTCTCTCAGAAGCAAAAAAGTAAATTCTATTATTGCCAACCAACCAGGATTTGTCCCTGCCAGATATCCTGCCATGAGGAAATTTCAGAGCGAGGACACCCAGCATGCCGCCCTTCTGTAGGAATGCAAAGTTGGGCCTCCTTTTTTTCCTGATCTGTGCTGGAAGGAGCTTTTTACCTTTGGGGAAGGATGCCTTTTGGTTAGAAAGAATTGAAAATAAGTAAAATCCTCTGGGAAAAGGTGAGTCAATCCCCTTCCCCATCCCAGGCTTGGACCTAGAAAAAAAAGGGAGAGGGAAGGGTAAAAACAACTAGACAAGTTAGAATCTAGTTTGGAGGTGGAGGGGAGGAGAGAAAGATCATTGAACTTAGAGAACTGGATGCCCTTAGAGACAGCAATCCCCACTTGGATTCGGCCTGTGGGTCAACAAGTTAAACAACGCTCATTCTGTGGACTGGAGTGTCAAGACAGGCAACCAGTCCTCATTGACAGAGGGCTTTCTGTGTTTGTCCAGCCTGAGACCTTTACAATGACTGTTTGTCTTTCTAGGCCAAATTGAGGGTTGGGACTGGGTAGATCGCCTCTGTTTAACTGCTCTGCTGCCTTCAGCCCCATCTGAGAGATCCAAAAGTCCTCCGAATGCTTTTAAGAATTTATGATGACAAAAGGCTTGGCAGTTCACGCGACTGACAAGGAATCAAATACATGATCAAGTACAGATCTTGAAGAGGATGTCTTCCTCAAACCTTCTCAACTATAAAATAGGAACAGCCTGGACCAAATGATTAAAAAAAAAGGAAGACAAAAAAAAAAACAGTACCTTTTTAGTCCAGTGAATTTTATATTAAATTAAAAAAAAATAGAACAGAAACAGCCCCCCAATTGGTTTTGGGTTCTGGGTCATTTGAGGCTAAAGGTTTCTACACTCCCACAGAGAACAGGATCTAAAAATATACAAAGAAGTTTGTCTTCTCAGTTCCAACACTTAACAGTATTTAAGACTTTAACCTGCTAGCCCCTCTGAGAATAGGGAATCCTCCTCACCATACTTTGATAAACTTAAATAATTAGCTGGAGGAAATAATGGGGACTTCTCTAGCAATCATTTCAAATTCTAGAAGTTACAGATTTTTCAACACTGGTTGGAAGAGTATCCACTTCTACCAGCAAAGCAGGACAACAAATGCACTTCAGATTAAAAAAAAAATCTATTTGGCAAATTATAATTTTTCAATATTTTTATTACCCAGGACATACACTTTTGCAATAACTATGGGCAGTTACCAGCAATCTTTTTTCTTTAGCTTCCAAATTTACAAATGATCAAACACCAAAAGACTATTTTCAGACCAACACTTTCTTTCATTTGTACATTCAGGCCACAAAATCTTACCACAGATAGAAGTATGAAATTGTTTAAGTAATGTCAGTTCCTCCTTTCTTCCCAAACAGGCTCAAAGTTAAAAAATGAGATACAAGACTTCCTTGGTAATGAGGAAACGATTGCGGCTTTACCGAAATAACCTGAAAGAGTCAGGTAAGTTAAAACCCCCTTTTAAATATTGATTCACTGAAATTTGGGGGTTTGTTTTTTGGGGGTTTTTTATGTGCAAAAAACAATTTTTTTTTTCATTTAGTTATGCCGAGTCTCAGTTGTGAGTTTAGGTGAGTCTCTTGAGTTCAAATGAAACTTAGAATAACACCTTGGTGTTCGATGCATTTGCACACAAATCAATGACACAACATCCTATCAGCAGCTGGCTAATCCTCCTCAATGCCTACTCATCTGGATGTTCTAGAATTAATATTTGACGACTCTCTCATTGAAACAACCACCCCTGACCTTCTGCAATTCCACTGTCACATTATTCTATGACATATTCATCTTGAATTCATTTCCGGACGATTTGATTGGAATGAGGTTTGACATGTATTGGCTTCCATGAAAGAAGCAGACTTTGATCTTGGTGATGGGGTTTACATGATATGCATCATCCTTACCAGGGACACCAGCCTTCTGCAATGTGGTAACGACTCGGTTCCCACAATGTGGTGTCTGAACAGGGAGTGACTGACAGCCACTCTGTCAGGAATACCTTCATTGTGAAGAATTTAATTTAATATTCCATTTAGAATGAGCCTATGATTTAGGGTTGGGTGTTTTCCTTTCTAGGCATGCAGTTCCTTTTATTTCAACTATACCACTAGCTAACAGTTACTTCCAAAGATATTCTCTTGTTGGTAGGCAAAGCAACCTTCTTAACAAAAGTAAAGTAAATGATTCAGAGAATGGCTCTCTTATATTATTTTGGGAAGATTTGATGGGCAGAATTCTCGAGAGACAGATGTGGTTATTATGTAAATTCCATTGTTTTGATTCCTTAATACTGTTTTGGAAGATCCTTTGGTAATGTTTCCTAATCTTTTGTCAAAAGACATTTTGCAGAAGCCTTGCTTGAAAATTAAATTTTGTCCAAGTATGTTTTCTTTCAATCTTAGTGTCATTAGTGATGATTAAAGCTAAAATTTCCCCAGTAGAAGAGAAGAATTTCTTTCCTTTCCAAAATCCTGATAGATCTCATCTCCTTTGCACAATTCATGCTTGAACATAGAGGCAGCCTTCTTAAGTTATCTCTTTTCACAAGATTGGAGACACCTCCCACTGTGGGAATCCTGAAGTCTGTGTGTGAATGGCTTCTAAAGAGATATATTCCACATTTGGAGTGGTAACCTGGTCAGAAACAGGGAAAAAGAGCTGAACAAGTGGCTGCAGTTTCAGAAGCAGAACATACAGATGACAGAAGCTATACTTGGCCAGGTTCTGTGCAGTGTGGCCCTCAACTACTGAGATTATGCTCTGGGCAAAGTCTGCAACAGGTAATTATCAGTTAGCATTGCTTAAAAAATCAAAATGGAAAATAGCTCAGCTATCGATTTATAATCTCCTCCATCTCTTTTTCCTTTCCAAGGGAGAGAGGTCAGACATTTTTGAGCCAGTAATATGAGGAGCTCTGCCAGATGGTAGAGCCATCAAATGGCCTATTTCTAGAAAGTAGGACTAGAAAATCACTTGTTTATGACACTACATTGGCCTGGCTGTGGTGAGCAAAGCATTTAGGGCATGATTCTGAGCACCAGTTTACATGCAACTTTTGCAGACTGAGGGTTATTTGAGGTCTGGTGGTGGAATCTACTCCAACTGAAACCTTTCAGTACTTCTTTTTTGACATCTTTGAAAGACCTTCAGGCTACAGGATATTTGTTTACTCTCCAAGTCAAGCAGGAAAATGGACCTAATGATGCTGTAACACTGGGAGAGGCTGGGAATAGAATTCTCCAGCCAAGCATTTGTGTTGGGGTAAAGTGAATTGAGATAAACTTCTGAATAAGAAAGCCTGAAAACCAGTGAGGGGACACCACTCCTCAGCCTGACTAATTGGCAGTCTCTGGAACCTGTGTCCTTGCTTTCTCCAAGTTCAGAGTAATTCCTCTGAAGACTAAAACATGCCTCCAAGACATTGGTGTTCTATCACCTAGCATTTGTGGTTAGCTTGATACTGTTTGGGCACTTATTTTAAAGAAGCACCTTGATGACTCTTATGCAATTGCCCAAAGTTCATTGTCTGTAAATATTTTGGGGGGTACAAAAGAGTTTTCTTCTCCCTATCACTGTTTCTGGGGAAAATGTCCTCATAAGAGAATGTCTGGTCCCATTGCTGTGTTTAGCCAACCAAGCTTTGGACCATATGGCTCCAAGAAACTTGCAAAGATCAGGCAGTCTCAGTGACCTGCAGGTCCACTGACCCCTGGCAACTCAAGAAGCATCTACCCAGGATGTGGCCAGATGTTTTCTGTGCTTCAAGAGAAGGTTGCATCTGGGAAGGAGCTCCATGGGGCCAGGTTACTGTCAGTGATTTTGGCTGAATCAGATGTGTCTGCCCTTTTGCTGCTGGCACAAAAAGTCATACACATGTTCAAAGCTTTTCAAGGGCAAAGTTAATAAGAGAAAGCATGCAGTATACTAACAGTCTCTCTCTATATAAAACCTCTGCTTTCTCCCCTTGGAGTCCACAGAGTCAGTGCATAGAATTCAGGAGGTATATAAACTTGGATAGATAAAAACATGCATCTTTTGCAACCTGCAAATGGAAAGTGAGCATTTTCTTCTATGATAAGTAAGGACAGTAAAAACAGGACTGTTAAGACTTTACAAGACTCATCAGACTTTTAAAGTGGTCCCCAGCCTAAAACAGCTGCTTATCAACAGCTATTCTGTCAGTAATGTTATCAAAGCTTCTAATGGGAATAAGGTCACAGTATGTATATAAGGGATCATTTTGGAGCAAGTCAGAGTGTTGTCTTTTTCTTTTTCCTCTCCACAATCCAACTCTCGGCCTTGCACATTCTAGGCAAGCACTCCACCAATGAGCCTTATCCCCAGCCTGAAATCAGGGTCTTAATCAAAGCTAAAGTGGATGATGAGTTTGACAAACATCTGGAACAGTCAGTTATAGGTCATCAAGGTTATAGTGGAAGTAAAAATATTTTAATTGCTGGAGTTTTGCAAAATGTCCCTGCACTTAAGCTTGAAAACCACAGAGGCTGACAGCTTCATCTTGAGATATGGATAGTGGAAACAGCTGGTGAAGAAGACCCAAGGAGAAACACATTGTTTTTCTTTTGCCTTTTTTTTATATTTTATTTATTGTTTGTTCATTTTTGCCCTTCCTGGGTTCAGCCCAGACTCACATGGAGAACTGCCTCCTTCTGCACTGTGGTGAGATTTGAAACTACTCACTGACACTTGGGAACAACTTTCTAGAGACCAGGCCTAACCAATCATGGAGTAAGGGACCACAAATCAAGGGACAGAGAAGAACACCTCTGGGTGAAGAGTAAACCATGGAAAGTGAAAGCCAGGAAAGAAGACAAATCCTGAGAGTCTGATGTCAAATATGTGAGGAAGACCTTGATTTAGAGAGCAGGAGGGGTCTGCCAGTCAACTGCTCTCCTCTTAAAAAAAAAAAAAAAAAGTTTTTAATTTGAAAAAGAATCTATTGGCAGAATTGCTCAAGCCCTTCCAGCTGGAGGAGCAGAAAGATCCAGACTAGTCAAAGCAGAGAAATTATTGTGGAAGTTAATCCCTCGCTAAAGTTCAAGAGGGGAAGGATGTGTTAAATGAAGAAAGTCTGAAAGAATGTGTCAACCTTTATAAATGTTAAATATTTTTTTCCTAAATGACGTAAAAGAAACCCTTATTTACTGACCAGGAAATGTTTAAGAATACTCCTCCGTTCTCGGGATGGATTGGGCAGTTCTATCGACTCTGAGTTAGGAGGTTTCTTGTGATTTACCTAGATTTCACTTGCCTCTGCTAATGGGGCACAAGATATTTTATCCAATCTTCAAGACTTCTCTTTTAAAAATCCAAGCCTTTCTGTGTTTGGGGGCGGGGGTGCTTTTTACAGCGGTCAGGGAGGTCCAGGCATTTCGACTGGTATTTTCGACCACAGAGAGCAGGCAGAGCTAGGGGCCAGCAGTTCTTTAAATCTCCGGACGAAGCAGCTGACCCTAGCTGGCCGGTGCAGACAAAGGACACTCCCTCCTGTTTATGACACACTCGACTGGCCCAGAACTGAAGTTTTCTTCAACCGACCGACCGTCCCCCACTCCACTATGGTGGTGTTTCGGCGTCCAGGCTCTAGAGGGCCTGGGAGCCTGGACTGAGCGAAACTTGGCGTCCACTTTTTACAGAACCCTGAGGCCAGCAAAAAGCGAGACAGGCTAGGCCTGAGGGCAACAAGTGGCGAGAACTGAAAGTGGAAGTGATCCCCAAAACCCTTTCCCAGAATCTCCATTTGATGTCTGGGTACCTAGCTCAGGACCCCAGATTGGCCCGGGCAGCCCTGAGGGAGAGGACCGCTTCCTCCTAGTTGTTCGCCCCTGGCCTTTGTGCCTTTGTTTCTTTGGCCAGTCCTCCAGCAGGTCGACGTGATTCGGGATGGAAAGGGACCTCTCAGGAGACCCTGAGATGGGTTCGAGGCCAGCCTCTCCCAAGCCACTACCGCCTCAGGCCCAATCCTGGCTCTAGTTAGGACCGGATTCTGTGGTTTGAGAGTCCGGTAGGGGGACAGTCACAGGGGGGAGGTGCCAACAAGGCTAAATGGGGAGAGAGAAGAGACGAAAGAGACTTGGAGGGGAGAAAAGATACCATCAGGAAGACAAAGGATAGTAGGGGGTCCAAGGGAAAATGGGGAAGAGTAGAGAAAGGTGAGAGCAGAGAGAAATTTCGGGAAAAGCCAAGAAAGTAAATTGAGCTGGAAGGCCGCCGGCCTGAGTTTCTCTGTTCCCGGCACCCTGGTCTGCAGCCTCCTCCCCTCCCAGGATCTTGACCCCCTCCTCCATTCAGCTCCTAGGACAAACTGCCCAAGCTGACCAACATCCCCGAGCACCGGTGCTGCCCATCAACTCCAACTGGGTTGGGTATCCTCATCTGCCCAGATATTACACATAGCACAATTACAATCTCCCCAAAGTGGTGGAGAAAGGGGACATAACCCAGCCCCGCTCACTTCCAGGAACCCTGAGGCAAACTGATTCCCCCAGACAGCAGCTTTCTGGAGGGGAGAGGAGGAGGGGGGTAAGGGGGAGAGAAAAGAATCTATGCCTGGGTCAGAGCGCATGAGCAGTAGAAGCGTGAAATGCTATTGGGGTGGGGGTTGGGTGAGGGAAAGCGGGTGTATTGGTGTGTGTGTGTGTGTGTGTGTGTGAGAGAGAGAGAGAGAGAGAGAGAGAGAGAGAGAGAGAGAGAGAGAGAAACCCTGAACGGCTGGACCTGTCATCGCTGACGTCGGGCAGGGCGGTGGGCCAATGGGCGACCTAGGCGATTGTTCCTCTCAGTGGGCCCCGGCCACGGCCCCGAATCTCTATTCATTTCCTCAAGCGCCCTGCTGTTGCCTCTGTAGTGTACGGGATTTCACGTAGACATTAAAGGCGGGGGTGGGGGGGCAGCTAAAACCCCAAACCCAAAACTTAAAGGGGGAAAAACCCACTTTGAACAAGTTTTTAAAATCTTTGCGTGTGTGTGTGTGTGGGGGGGGGGGGGTATCCTTACCCCTCCTCTCTGTCAGGTGACGGTGGCATTAGTGACTGGCACAGGAAGCTCTGGGGAGGACGGGCAGGGATGCTGCAGGCCGCCCTCTCCCAAACAAGCAGGGCACTGAAATTAATATATATGACTGGGGCACTTCAGAACCACCACCACCTCCAACATCACCACCTCCAACACCACCACTTCTTATCACCTCCACTCAGGGGCAGGGAGCGGAGTCCTGGAGCGCCCCAGGGTTCTGGCCTCCAAAGTGCGCTTGGGGCTTAGGTCGGATCCCCTTCGGGCAGGGGCCAGGTTCCCCCAGCAACCCACAGACTCATCCTTGCTGCCCCTTCCACCTACCCTACCGCTACCATCCCTCACCAGGTCAAGGCGCGGCAGGGGACTCTCCGGAACAGCAGCCTGGCCTGACCGTGGTGAAGGCGTATGGCCTTGCTCTGTCTACCGGGTTCACTGGGAGAGCAGACTGGCTCCTGATCCCAGCTGACCGCAGAAGCCGCGGTGCGGCTGGGCTGGGCCTGCCCCCCGGGGCCCAGGGAAGTCCGCTGCCCACGCCACTGGTTCTCACGCGCGCTATTTGTCTCGACAACAGGTAGCAGCTCCGGACACCATGGCCCCCAGTTCGCCGCCGCTTCCAGCCCCTCGGTATTCCCAGGCCTTCACGAGCAGCCTCACCAGGCCTCTCACAGCCGTCCTTTGAACGGACTCCTGCGTCTGGGGCTCCCCGGAGACATGTACGCACGGCCTGAGCCCTTCGCGCCAGGGTCAGCGGCCCGCAGCGACGCCCTGGCAGCTGCCGCGGCCCTGCATGGCTACGGCGGCATGAACCTGACAGTGAACCTCGCCGCGTCCCACGGCCCTGGCGCCTTCTTCCGCTACATGCGCCAGCCCATCAAACAGGAGCTCATCTGCAAGTGGCTGGCGGCCGATGGCCATGTGCCCCCACGCCTCTGCTCCAAAACTTTCAGCACTATGCACGAGCTCGTCACGCACGTCACCGTGGAGCATGTCGGCGGCCCGGAGCAGGCCAACCACATTTGCTTCTGGGAGGAGTGTCCGCGACAGGGCAAGCCCTTCAAAGCCAAATACAAACTTGTAAATCACATCCGCGTGCACACGGGCGAGAAGCCCTTCCCCTGTCCTTTCCCGGGGTGTGGGAAGGTCTTTGCTAGATCAGAAAATCTCAAAATACACAAACGAACTCACACAGGTCAGTATTCGGCGCTGTCTCGTGCGGACCCTCTGGGGAAGCAGGCCCTCGGGTCTGGATTTCCTCAAGTTCCAACTGAGGGGAGGAGGGAGGTATTTTGGTATTGTTTCCATGAGCCAAATCCATAAAATATTAATTATGCGCTTCTATTCTTAGAATCACAGAAGTTTCCGGAGGCTGTGTGTAGGGAGAACAGTGCAGGATTTCTGCTCTGGGGGACAAGGGTGAACGTGCCTCCGACACTGTATGGGCAAATGTATGCTTATGGAGTTCCATTTATTTATTTGTTCGCTATGCTGGGGATCTAACCCAGAGTCTCACGCATGCTAGGCAAGTACTCTATCTCCGAGCTACACCCCCAGACCCTGGAGATTGCTTTTTAAGTCATTTCAAAAACAGCTCAGCTCCTCAAAGTCTTAAAAACAGGGGAACAATTGCCTAATTTTTCTTCATCTCTTTAGCATGGAGGGACAGAACTCTTCTTCCTGTCAGCCTCACAACCTGCCTGCCACTTGGACTGAGGGGTCATCAGATCCTTAGCACTTTCTTTAGGATTTGGGAGTCTCTTAGGCTAACTTTTACCCTTCCTTTTTGGTGAGTCTTGCTGGCCCGACAGCAGAAAGGTTTTGCTAACCCTCTTATCTTAGCAGAGACCCAACGGGACTCATCCGACTTAAATGTCATTTACCGAGCTGTTAAGCGAAATAGGGACATGTGTCAACCACATCTGTTAGTTCTAGTTAACAGAAAGAAAAGGAGCCTCGCGCAAGAGCTTGCAAAGTTGAACTCTTCTGGCCAGAAGCATCTAATTAATACAATTGCAAGAAGAAAGTTTTCACACTTCCAGAATAGCATGTGAAGTTACATTAATTAGTTTAGCAGCCATTGTTTGCACGCTTCTTACTCCTCCCCCTCCCTCGAAGTTTAAGAAGTCGACATCTCCCCTCCCCCATTTTGGGGGCGGGAGAAGGGGGGGGGGGGGGGGGGGGACCAGAAGATGAAATAAGTTCCGGCTTGGTGCTCCACTTTTACTACCCTGCGCCTTGCCTTACTCCTTTGCTTGCTTCAAAACCAACCATTGTTACAGTCAAAGAACCCCCTTAGGTTGGAAGTGCGGAAAGAAGCTTGCTAATCTTGTTCTAAACTCTTGCCTTCTCCGTGAAGATCTAGACCTAGGACACTGACTTGCTCGGAGGAAAGACCAAAGTCCACTTTGAATATTGTATTTTATTTTCGGAGTATATCTGGAGGCTTATTGTTTTCTCGAGCTCTTTCTGGGGTCCCCCACCCTCTCGCAAGTATCTGCCCCCTCTTTCGTTATATCCCCCAGGGTAGGGGGGGATGGGTAAGATTCTGACCCCGACCTGCAGGCCTGCTACTCCAGGAGCCGGCAGCTGGCACCTGGAAGGTAGACGTGCAGTCCTAAGCTGGAGAAGAAACTCATCTTTAATGACAGGGGTTTTTAAACAAACAAACTTTTACTGCTCTTTGCCGGCCCACTGTTTGAAGTCTGTGAAGCAGAAAATGGTTAAATTCTTAGCGCAATCGACCTACAGCAGAGAAGCAAGTTCCGTGCGCCAGGGCTGGCTCTCAGGTTTGCATCTATTCAGGACAGAATTCTGTGCGTTCTTTTCGCTCGCAGTCCTGATTCATTACCGCTTGAGTTAAAAAAAAAAAAAAAATTGACAGTCTCTCCTGCTCAAACCCCCCTCCTAAGTAATGAAAAGAGAAGAGAGACAGAGAGAGGAGAGAGAAAATGTTTCTCAAATGGCAATAGACCTCACTACAAATTATTCATGAAGACAGTTCTCGATGCAACAGGAAAATAATTGCCTTTTCAAATATTAATGGCGTTTCATTTCCTCGAGTCGCGGAAGCGGCGAACAGGAGCAGATTTCTCAGGAGTTGAGATTCTCTCGGATCTGAATCCCAGGCCCGGCTTTGGAGGCGACTGCCCGCGCCGAAAGGTTTCACTTTGTGGTGGTCACAGCGATCCTGCAACAATGGTGCCTCGGCGAACGAGGCGCGGGGCCAGCCACCGTGCTCTGCCGGGACCCCACTTCCAGGCGCCCCTCCCGGAACCCTTCAGCTGGGGGGGGGGGTCCCCCCACCTTCCCCAGCGGCGGATAGAGAGTCAGGGCTGGGGATCCGAGGCAGAGAAGCAGAGACTGCGCTGGGGCGGAGTCACCAGGAAAAGCAGACCCAGCCACAAGTGCGAGAAAATGGCGCTGGCCCGGCCGCCCCTACGCTTCCGAACTTTGTCCTGCGAACCTGGCTCGGGGCAGGGAAGGAGGCCTTTTCCAACTGCAGAGCCCCTGGGAGGAGATTGGGCCTTTCACCGCGCAGTCCCGGGCTCAAGCCGCTCCGGGCGGGCTCAGCGCCGGGACCAGGGGGAGGGGAAGGGCGACAGCAGACTGTCGGCGGGGGGCGGGATGGATGTCAAGTAAGGGGACCAGGGCGCCTCCTGCAGCTCGGGAGAGCGCTGGGGCGCGGCTTCACCTGGCCTCCCTGGGGCCTGCGAACTTCCAGGCTGTACGAATCACCTCAGTACACTGCTTTTTTTTTTTTTTTCCCCTCCTCTGCTCCTCGTCTGGGTTGAAATCAGTTTGTTTTATCAGTTTGTTCAAGGAACAGCTCACAAGATTGGATTAAGTGTGTGGCGGGAATTATTTTTTCTGGGGCGAAGGGAAATCAGCCTCAAATTCTGTTCCTCCACTATTTTATCAGAATCTTGTTCTTTTTTGCAGGCTCTGAATTACATGATTCTTTTTATGTGTGATTTTAGAAAGAGAAAGGAAAAAAGGGATTTTTTTTTTTTTTGAATTTGCAGACGCTGGCAGGGATCCGTGGGGAGAAAATAGGCGCAAATAGGGAGTATCTTTCGTCCACTTTTTTTATAAAACGTTGACAGTGTCCCAGGAAATAGCAGAGGGCAGCACCTTCCAGAGGGCCTGATATATAGCACTACTCCTGCAGGGGGTGAACCCAACGACTGGGCGGTGTCCGAGTCCCGGGTTCACAAGCCGCTGCCTGAGCAGATGCTTGTGTGCAAACCTCTGGCTCAGCGGGAGCCTCATCAGTGCTAGGAATAGAGGCTTTGTTTGTTCAAACCTGGCAAAAAGCACCTATCTTTCCTGGAAGCGACCCGAGAAGCAAACGCAGAGCCAACAGTACTTCTCCCGCACATCTCTTGCTCTTCAGCTCGACGCTAGGTAGCGATTCCCTCGACCCAGAGCTCTCCGCTACATCCATTTGTTTAAAGCCCTAGACACCTCCTTCTCCGCCCCCATTTCCGCAGCATTTGCAGCTCGGGCAGGAACTTGGGCTTCCGGGTTCTCAGGGTTCTTTCCTCCCCCTCACGCCCGCGAATTCAGGCTGTAGTGAGCTCGGGGATTGGGGCTTGGTCCCGCCAATGTTTCACCCTATTTTGATCTCGCGCCTTCCCTGGGCTCTGCAGGGCATCGCAGCCATGATCCGAGCGGGCCTATCCAGGCCACCGCTTGGCCTCCGAGCGGGACTTGGCCTGATCCCAGCAGTTGCGTTCACCCCCCCAAAGCTGCGGTGCTATCGGACAAGGTTGGGAGAGAGACCTCAGGTCACGAATTGGCTGGGTGGCTCCTCCCGCGCCAGCCGCTTGGCTCAGACCTCCCGAAGCCCAACAGCGGGCGGGGTGGTCCAAGGAGGCCGGGAGACCTTGCACAGTTTGGACTGAGAAGACGAACTGCACACTGCAGGGTCTCCGAGAGATTGCTGGAGGTGCATAATAAAATATAGCCGATGAACCTATCTGGAGGAATCCGATGGTTTAGCAAGATTTGAAGAATGCTGCTAAATGCCTGCCCTCAGGGGGTAAAAAAAAAAAAAAAAGGAAGGGGGAGGAGGCTTCAGTTTCCGCAAAAGTCGCCTTTGAGGTGCATCATTGCTCCGAATACCTTCCCCCGAAGCAAGGACCTATATTATGCACACGTCGTGTGCATAGATTGCGTATCCTCTTAAATCATTTCATCGCTTTTGGCGTTTTCACAAAAGCTACTTTTGGGACGGGAAGGGGTATGTGAGGGGTGGACCGCTGGGCGGGAATGGTGGTGGCAGAGACGTTTGGCTAGAACTGCAATTTTAAACAGAGCAGATGTGATCTCTTCAGTCAACTCTATGTATTCTCGGGGCAAAGGTGCCTCTGGCTCCTAATGGATAAAATTTGGAGGAAAACAACCCGAGTGGATCAGATTTTCGAGAATGAAACTCGACTAAGATGGAGTCATTGTCGCTCCTCCTCTTTACCCTCCCCCTAGGTCCAGAGGGAAGAGGGGGAGGGGTGGAGGCGTGAGGGAGGGGTCGCCAGGAAGCCGCGGCGCGCTCTCTGCGTGGAGAGGGGTGCCCAACCTGAGTGTGGAGGAGAAGGATTTCTTTTAAAAAAATGTTTGTTTGTTTTTTTATTGATAAAATGAAAGAGGAATGGAGGGATGGCAATTGTGAGCCTAGGACTCGGCCCACGCGCACTAATGTCTCTGCCTTGCCTCCGCCAGGAGAGAAGCCTTTCAGGTGTGAGTTCGAGGGCTGCGAGCGGCGCTTCGCCAACAGCAGCGACCGAAAGAAGCATTCGCACGTGCATACGAGTGACAAGCCATACACGTGCAAGGTGCGCGGCTGCGACAAGTGCTACACGCACCCCAGCTCTCTTCGTAAGCACATGAAGGTGCATGGTCGCTCGCCGCCGCCCAGCTCTGGTTACGACTCTGCTACACCATCTGCCCTCGTATCGCCCTCTTCAGACTGCAGCCACGAACCCCCAGTGGCCTCCTCAGCGGCGGTGGCAGTGCGCGGCACAGACCTGAGCGAATGGTACGTGTGTCAGGGCGCGGGCCCCGCCGCGGCTGCTCCTGCCGCGACCCCCAGCCCCACGGCACTTCCTGGCCCTGCTGCTGCCGCTGCCGCCGCCACCTCCGGTATCAGGTCTGCCTCTGTGGTTGCTGCTTCAGCGTACACCCCCACTCGGAGTCTAGGCCGGGGTACTGAGGCTTGAAGACAGCGAGGAAGGAAGGGAGGGAGGGAGGGGAAGGAAGTGAAGGAAGAAAAAGGAAGCAAGCCGGCGGGCCGGCTACCACTAAAACTTTCCAGAGGTCAATGAGTATTGATAATTGAGTATGTCAACATATTCAATTATCAATACTCATTGAGTATGTTGATTATGCATTATTTTAAAACAAAAATTGGTCCCCATATTTATTCTACAGTTATCTCCTACACCCCACCCCCTCATGAGTGCATGAATCCAATGTTGAGGATAAAGGAAGAGAGGCATATGGAACAACAACAAAAATAAATCAGAATTTATATGCAATTCTGGCAACTGCAGGTGGCAAAAGTAAGGCCACCAAAGTCCCCACGAGGTTCATAGAACGGGAAAATTTTTCGTTGAGGCCTGAACTGCCCCCTCCCCCACTCCCTTTCCAGCTCCCAGTCGGAGCCTCCTTTTCCTGTCCCCTCCCCTCTCTCATCAATCCCAACCTCAAGAGATCAGATTCTGGAAAGTGGCCTAGAGAATTCCACAGCCATTTTCTTGTCTCCCATTTCTTTTTTCTTTTGCTCCCCTCCCCCCCCCCCCCCAATTTCCCCTTCCTTAGTTTTCCTTTAAAATAATGCCCAAATTCTAAATTTTCTCATAACATCCATACAGGAGATAACGGGGTGCTTAGCCCCTTTCTCTAGAAGTCCTATATCTCCACCCCCATGGACTGGCCTAGGCACTCAAATATGTAGGTCTGCCTGCCTGTATGTTCAGGGATTCTCTATACATTGTATACTTGGGGTAGGGAGTCCACAACTACAGGAAATACAAACAAAAGAGCTGCCAGAGAGGCTTCAGGATTCAACCTTAGGAGGCCTCTGGTCCCCTTACCCGCCCCCTATCCCTGTCCAGGCGCTGGCCTTTCAATCTTGTAGGTGCTTGGGCTGGGCGTGTGGAGCTGGCTGATGACGTCACTGAATCCAGGCCTCCACAGCCAACAGGGCTTGACCTAGGCAACGTGTCTGGGTGAATGGCATCAATTCTGTCACAGTCTTTCTCAAAAATCACCTAAAGTTGTCTTATTTTAAAGGGTTGGGTGGGAGAGAAACAAACTACAAAAAATAAATACTGTAAAGGAACAATATCAGTGGATCTAGATTGAATGTGTATTTGATATGCTTAGTGTGAAGTCCCTAGAAGAAAGAACCAGATGTTGGGGGCGGGGGAGAGGGAAGGCCTTTGGAATTGTTGCCAAAGGGGTTAACAAAAAACAAAACCAAAAAACAGAAAAGGGGTCTGTTTCCCAGTCTCCCACCCTCTGCAGGGAGAATGGGGGCTGCCCCACAATCCTAGCTGAGATATGAAGAAGAAAAAATATGAAAGGCAGAAGAAAAAAGAGAGGAGGTTTGAAGGACTCATGGCAATTCTTTAAGAATTTGGAAACAAGTGTATGGGGAGGGGGCCGCTAAATTCTCCCCTGGGGGAAACTTCAGCAGTTCAAATTTAAAAGCTGAGCCCTGATGTAAGTCAGTTCTGTAGGTCTTGACTAGCATGAGTGAGGCCCTGGGTTCGAACCCCAGCCCTGAAACGAACAAACAACAACAACAAAAAATCCCACAAACAACAACAAAACCCCAAAGATGGAACAAATTCTGACCCTGCCACTCTGCAGGATATTGTATTGTATTCGCTCCTCTTGAGAATCTATTAGACAATTCTCACGCCTGCCCTGCAACCACCACAACTTCCACCAAATAAAATCCTAACTGAAAGGGACCGTTTTGATCGCCCCTAATAAAAACTGAAATCTTCCAAATACATCTTTGGTGAATCTGTTGTTGAGGAAGGGAGACTGCAATCCCTTCCTAGCCCCCACTACAATAGGGTCTAGAGGCCGTCAGGCCAGAGCTGCAATGGAGAGGAAACTGGTTCCCATCAGGGCCCACTAGCCCCACAGCCAAGGTGTGGAGGGCATCTGCCAAACTTGCTTCTCCTGGAGATGTTTAGAGAGTGTCCCTCTTCAAATAGGAATCGCTTCTTTCCCTTCTGTTTCTAAGCACCGCATTTCGTCTTCACCCCAATCCAAAATAACGAAATAAAATAAAAGTGTTTGGTCGATCACTAATCGCCTTTAATTTTTCATTCGCTTGTTACAGATGTCCACCGCGTTGCTCGCAAGGTAATCTCGCCCTGCGCAGCTGAGCGCCCGCATCTCGTGCCTGCGACATCAAAGGGCCCGCACACAAAGCAGTGTTTCTTCGCCACGGTGCATCTTCATGGTAAGTTAGGATTTCTATGGCAATGGGCAAGTCGCACTGAAATCCTGAAAGGCCGAGCCTGGAGCCCGTCCAGGCTTTTCATTAAGGACATAATATTTACGTCTAACAGGCCTTTTTTCTTGTGTATACAAGTATATATTTTTGTTTGACGCGGACTAAATCATTTTCATTTAATTTCCGGTAAACAAAACCCACGCGAATGGGCACTTGTTCCCGATCATAATAAAAATGGATAATAATGTGAGGGAAGAAAAGGGCCGCTTGAATCGCCGCTCAGCCCTCTTTGTTTCTGCTTTCTGCGGTGATCAGAGGGCGCATTTGGGTTTGATGGCGAGTTTCTAAAGGCGAGGAAATGGTTTGTAAGAGGGGAAAGAAAAGGAGAAAGGTCTAATCAAGCTCGGGTTGTTCAAAGAGTCGGGTTTTGGGGTTGAAAGTGTGAGTTTGACGGTGCATCAGCATGCCGTGTTAGGCTCGCCATGGAAATGCGCGCGGGGAGCGGCCGCTTCAAAGGCGGCACACTTCACTGCAGACACTCTATTAAGATACATTTGCGCTGACCTTTGCTTTCACGCCATTTAATACTGTCACTGTGCTCTCCAGTATATACTTCCTCCCTAGGACCTGCCTCGCCTGAGTTTAGGGGTTCACCCTGCACCCTGATGTAGGGGGCTTTGGCGCCCGGACGCTTTCAGGAAAGGGAGGAGCCGGACTCCGTGCATCTTGACTGCGCCCCAAAGAGGCTCCAGGGTCAGGAGTAAATGACTTTAGGGCAACCTCAGAAGCTTAACAAATGAGCATCCCTAGCTCAGTTTTGTGCGAAGCGCCTCTCTGGATCTTTAGCAGGATGTGGGTTTGAATTTGATGAAGGATTGGGGGGAAGGGAGCCACCCTGGGGAAGTCTGGGGAAATCACACTGTTCCACAGGGACATTTCTACTCTGGCTCCTGGTACTGGTCTCTGACCCTCCATCCCAAAAGACTCTTGCAACCCCTAAACTTTTTTTCTGCCCAGGGACTGGGGTGTATCTATCCTTAGGCCTGGGCTGGCCTTGGGTACGAACTCAAAAGCCCAAGGCCAAGGGGATAGGGAAGATGGCAGGAAAGTTAGAAGTCCATGTTCCCTTAATTGTCTTGTTGTTTATTTTATCCAAGTACCCCAGTGAATAGAGGAAAATAAACACGGTGGAAAAAAAATCAAACAGTGGAGTCTTCTTTAGTGCCAGTCCTTGTGGTTGAATAAAAAGGATGGTCCGCTTTCTATTGAGCTGAGAAATCTTTGAAGTGGGAGTTATTATCTGAGACATTCCTGCTTGTCGTCCTAACAACGCTGATGAAACGTAAAAGGTTCTTTGTCAGCGATTTGTTCTCCTCTCTGTCAAACTCCCTCTACCCCGTTAGTTTCAAACCGTTTCTAAAGAGATAAAATCAAACTTCTTTTAAAAAATATCCACACACTACACCAATAGATAACTTTAGGGATAAGTCTTGCTAAGAGAAAGACAAAAGCACTGCCTAGCCCTCAGGGTCAGGGCCTGGTGAAGTGTGCAGATGTTGGGGGACACTTTGCTCCAGCTCTGGAACATGGGAAAAAGAATGCAGAGAGGGTGCAGGCAAAGGGTACATACCCAAAGTCCATACTTGTATGTCTGATGCTCTTGGCTCTGGCCTGCACTTTATCAGCCCAGGTTGGGTTACCTGGAGGAGCTTTCTTTGGAGACCCCTCAGGCTTTAAATTTTCTTGCCTGAGATTCTTGGAACCTGAGGCTGCAGTCCAGGATTTTTTTTTTTTTTTTTTTTTGTATTTCCTCCTTCAGAGGCAACTCTTTCTAAAAATAGACCCATTGTGTGTTTCCTCTCCCTAGTAGCAATCAGCAAGCCCTTTATGCCATTAACTAAAAGGACAGTGGCTGAAGGGAGAAAGACATTCTAATAATTTCCTATTTTCTTCAGAATCTTGGTAATTGGAGTTCCGAAGGTTTGGTCTACGTGATAGTGACCAAAAAGTGCATGCTAATGCTCATTCTCCCCTCCCCCACCCAAATGTGCAGTTCTTCACTTTATATTGTGCCCAGGAAAGAAACTTTCACCCTTGTTCAGGTTCCCCAACCTCCTGTTGTGGTTTTAAAGGTGGTTTAAATCAACAAGGATGTGCCCATCCCCCCACCCTGTGTGTGCTGACTAAATGATTTGTAAAGAAGTTTCCCCAAGCTGTAACCCATGCTGTTATTATAGTTGCTGCAAAATGTTGTCTCTTATATTGATTTTATTTGTTTACTGGAGGTCTCCATATGTTTGTTTATATCGCTAATTTATGGGAAAATGTAATGATTGCAATGAACATGAATTATACAGACAGGCAAACATTTTATAATCATAATTCACACATACAGGAAAGCCTGAATGAAACTCTAGACTATTTGGTACCTTCTCTACCCACACTTTGTGATTTATCATCTGTCCCCTTAGCATCAGTTAAATTATGAACTAATTTGAAAGAAAAAAAAAAAGAAGTTGTTATGTATTTGACTGAAAGTGATTGTTGAATGAACTTTGATTGTTGAATCAAAGTTGAGGCTCATAATCTTTTTGGAATCATGTAAATGTAAACGAAATAAAACCTGCGATTCTTTTCCCCTCTGAAGTCTTTTGTGTACATAGAGCTCCATTTTGCTATTTTATTTGGAAATAAATGATGTGTTGTTTTCCTTTCTCTTTTGAATCTGGATGTCCTGTTATTGCTTCACCGTCATGGGAGAGATTTGGGGTCCTACCGCAGCCCACAGTTCTCTCCCCCTCTTTCTTTATGGTTTCACAGAAACATATTTGGGGCCTCACCTAGGCAGCCCAATGGAGGGCCCACCAAAATGGCCATCCTGGGAAACACAGCTCTTGCCTCAGTTTTGCCCCAGTGGCATCAACTGAATTACAGAAGGGAAAAGGGTAACTGACCTGTGTCTGCCTGGAAAGGCTTTCTTCCCATGGTTCTGAGGGCCAGGGGTGAACACTCTCACAAACCACCTTTGAATTTGGAAACTCTCGTGGCTGACAGGAATCAAACCAAGGAAAGAACAAGAGAGGTCCAGTTGACCCCAAGTCCTGCCTGAACTCTGGCATAGTACCTCAGAGGGCCCCGCAGGAGTCTTTCTAGCTGAATCTTGCCCCTTGGGCAAGTAGGGGAGGCACCATCCTCCCTTCTGACATCTGCGAAGGTCCTAGCCTTGACACTGACAGGCTACAGCCCATATGACTCTTCCTTGGACCCTAGTTGATACCTTGGTTGGGTTTCAGCATCTGATGCATATGCCCAGTGTATCTGGCCTGCCACTTGGAATGCATTTCAAATGTTTCAAAATCACTAGAGTCCTCTTCCCTGTCTCCACTAAAGTCACTGCGTCACCAGATTACCAGCACCCTTCTTCCCCTCCACCACCTGGCGCAGACCGGTGACTTCCAGCTAAAGCCCTGGCACCTTTTCGATTGCTGAGAAGTTGGTTTCCACGGGCCTGGCTGGGACGTGATTGGAGGAGAGGACGGTGGCTCTTGTGGTGGAATTGCTAGGTCTCCTTAGAGAACCAGTTCACGGTTCAAGGGCAGCAGCCCTGGGGAGAGCACTGGGGAAAGGGATCCTAGAGCGCAAAGGCGGGAGGGAGACCCGCGGGGCGAGTAGGGAGGCCACCAGGGGAAACCAAGACTGTCCGTGTGGGCGAGGGCCCTGGGCGTGGGCACTACACCAGGCTCCCCCTCCTGTCCCAATCGCAGAACCCCATCACCACCACCTGCGGCTCAGGGACTGCTTGAAGGAGCCCCTCTCTTGCTTTGGTCTTCTCAACCCGGTCTGTCTCAACTTTGAGACAGAGCACACATTAAATCATTGTGGTGCGGGAAAGTGGCGATTAAGAAAGAGGTCGACACCCCCAGTCAGGCCCTTCCTGGCTCAGTGCTCCCTGCCCGGTGTGGCTGTTCCTGCTCACAGCTACTCCTCCTGGGGCTTCTAGAGGAGATCCCAACTCCCTGTCCGGCCCAAGAAAGCCCTGCGCAGCGAGGGAACTGGGAGTCGCCACCTGAACCATTGGAGAGAATGCAGAGAAAGGGAGCATTGGAGGGGCAGCTGCCCTGACATCCCACGTTGGGGTTTTGGAGAAGCAAAGCCTGCCTTTGAAACTTCCTAGTCCCAGTTAGAACGGAGGAACCCGGGGGCTAGAAAGAGAGGGAAGAGGAAGTGCTGAGGACACTTTGATTGCTAGCCACCAGGAGAGAATGCTTTACTTTTAGGTGCTGCTGCTGCTGCTGCTGCTTCTGTTATTATTATTATTTTAGCAGTTTGGGATGGTGTAACCTTTGGGTCTCCTAGTGTCTGCAGCAAGCCTCATCCTAGAATCATTTCACTTATCCTTTGGGAAAGTTACCCATGCCTACCCTGCAGCAGTAACTTGGGGCACAATTAGCCTGCTAAAGACCCTCCCTTCCCTACCCTTACTCCTCTATCCCAATTCCACATTAAAGCACCTGAAAAAAACTGTGACTTTGGTGGAAAAACTTTGGATAGGAAGAGACTGTCTGTCTCACTTGTCCACCTACTAACTTTGTGCCCTTCCTTGTGATTCAGCTCCCTGTTTGTATAATGGAGGGAAATGAACCGCCTCCGTGTTTTTTTGTTTTTTTTTTTTTTTGTTGTTGTTGTTTGTTTTTTTTTAATGCTGTATTATCTTCAGCGACTTTGTGATATAAGACAACCTTGAAACCTTTAGGTTTACTGGCTGCTAGTTGTTATTACTATAACTTGAAATTCCATCTTTCAGACATGCCCCATAGTGCCTCAGTAAACAAGATGGCTTTCTCTAGTTTCTCCTAGAAAGTTAGGCATCTACCTAGGAAGGGGCCCCAAGTTCCCCAGCAGTGTGCGCCTCCCTCAGGCAGCCCGGAGAATAGTTAAGGGTCCTGATACTTTATTGACTGTTTTTTTTTTTTTTTTTTCTAAGAATTGCAGAGCCCTGTGCAGCCAAAAACTGAGGCAGATACGCAATTTATTTTTTAAAAGCCAAAGAAAAATTAGAGAGAACTGAGTTTATTTCAGTACAGAATAATGCTGAAGAAACTGATAGCTTTAATGTTACCCTTATGACTTGTTAAGACTCTGGCATTGTACTAAACTCCGAGGCCCAGCCAGCAGTGATGGTGATTTATTTTTATCATAAGTCTCTGCGGTTTATTGTGAGTCCCATGTGGGGTTTCTTAAAACTCAAGTGTGGAGGCCGGTAAATATGAGAGGGAAGTAGAGTGACAGGGCAGTGGGCATAAAAGTCACCAAAAAAGTACTTTCCTCCTAGGAATTCACCAGGAACTCTTTCACAATCATGATTTTTTTTTTCTTACTTAATCCTCATTTCAGGGAAAACTAATAACCCCTTGGTCACCAAGTGACTGAATATTCTACAATGACACTCTGCTGTTTCCAGCTTTCTATCTGGGAATCAGGACTGTGCTGCCTTTTGGGTGAAAACCCAAATATCTCCCATGAAGAAGAGAAACAGAACTTTTCTAGGAAGGTCATCATGAGCTCAGACTCCAAAGTCGTTCAGAAAAAAAAAAAAATGACGTCGAAAGAAATTCAGTTCAGTAGACAATGGGGGAGGGGGGCTGGAGTTTCCTCTGAATCTTCCAGTTGCTTTACAAACATCAAAGGAGCTTTGTGAAAAGATAAAGGGAAAAAAATTCCTTAGGATACAGGTTAATCTAATGTAAATATGGCCTAGCAGATTGACTTTGAAATTGGTCCCACATTTTTTTTTCTCCTGTAGAGCCAGTGTAGATGACATGAATCAAAATCTGGATTGAGGATATTGATCAATTCAAAACAAGGTGAGCAGGGCTGTGCACAGGGTTCTGAACCTCAAAATAAATGGACAGCCCTGGGAAATGTGTGCAGAAGGAATAAGCCAAAATTAGGCAAATGCATGGTGCTATGCCATGCTATTGCAGGTAATGGCAAAAAGAAAGAAAAATATCCACCACCAACATCATCAGATGATTAATTTAGAATATCAGAAGGATGATCCAGTTTTCTCTTGTGTTGTGACTGACTGGCTGGCACACAAGATCATATTAGCCAGATGAGGACAGGATATTCTTTGCCAGAATTAAGAAGAAGTGCAAATAGATCAAGGTCCTTTCTTTTTGCCATAGCAAGGTCTTACTCAGGGTTTAATGGAGGCCTCTAGCATTTGCATTCATCAATGTATTACATTTTTTTAAGTTGATGATAGACCTTTATTTTTTCTTTCTCTCTGTCTTTAATTTATTTATATGTGGTACTGAGAATCAAATCCAGTGCCTCACACATGCCAGTCAAGTGCTCTATCACTGAGTCACAACCCAGACCCTGTATTACTGTTTTTAAAGAATATTCTGAGCATCTTGCTAAAAAGCATTTTGCTGGAAATGTGTACATTTCTAAGTCAAGAAAAATATGTCTGCCTTTCCAAAGATTCGCTTATTTATTTCTTCTGAGAGAATTGAAGAGTTGCCTGATGCATATAAACAATTCCTATTCAGCCACTTCACCTGAGAAAAATATAAATGTTCCAAACATACAAAAAAAAAAAAACCTCCCCATTTTTTCTGCTGCTGCACTTACTGAGTAAGGAATCTGTAGTGAAATGTTTTCCATTGTCCAAAAAAAAAAAAAAAAAATAGAAAAAGAAAAAAAGAAAGAAAAAGAAACTGCCAATTTTCTTTAAAAGGAAAGAAGCAATAACAACACCAAAAAACTGTTGTAGAAAAACAGCCTTCTTTAAGTGTGAAATATCATTTCATTGTAAAAAGTGAAAAAAGGAGTGGTAATCCAACTTCCGGAAACTGTTCTGAATTATTTCACCAGACCCTTTTAAAAGGGGATTAGTGGGGCTTTGGGAGCAAAATCCTTCTGTTTTATTCAATCTCTGATTTTATGTTATAATTACTGCCTGTAAAGGCTCTGGAATTAGTATGCAGGCACCGTCAAGACACGATGCAGGTGCTATTCTAATGGTTCAGCTTTTTAATTAAGAAAAGAGGTAAGAAAATCGAATCATAAAAACACTTTTGTGAGAGCTGAGAACATTGCAGCCACTGCATGAATAAAGCCTTTATACCTTCCCCTGACAGGTCAGCTACTGAGGCGCTGACTTACGACCTTTTCAGGGCCAGACAATAGTTAACAGCTTTCTCACCTTGTCCCCACAGAACCTTTTCTTCAGGGACAGATCTTATGGAAATTGCCTTAAGTAGCTTGACTTCCACAAAAGATATTGCAGCTAGAATGCATACACATCCAGACTGAAATGCCCGCTGGTAGTTGCCTACTACAGACCTCTTGTTCTCTGCATCCCTTCTCATGGGTGGGGGAGGGGTACATGTGGGAGGCATAGAATGGATGGGGGATGGAGTCTGCCCTGAAATAGCCACACAGGGGCACACAGTACCAAGGCCAAGGTGGACTCCTCCCCATTCCCTGGGAAGACAGAACCTGAAAAGGGGGGAAAAATTAAATCATGGGCTGCAGGTAGTGCTGGGGAGTTTCTGAAATAGTCTTCCCTTGCAGGAAGGAAATTTGGCCAGCCTTCTTGGAGGCTGCCCCACCCACCCAGAACACTTGGGTGTACTTTAGTGCTTTTTAAGTTCCTTCAGCTTCCTGGTTACCCCCACATGACCTTCACCTGTTACCAAAATCGTTATCACCCC